TGCATCTCCATTAGATGTAAACGCACATTTCCACCTTCAGCAAGAGCCATATTGTGCAGCTTGTTAAAGTAAAACATAGTTGATCCAGCTTCTGTCCTTAAGTGAGCCTCTTTCAGAGCGTCCCAAATTTCTCTGGCTGAGGTCTTATCACGCAATAGACAGAGCTCTTCTGGGGATACTATCAATGTAAGAGTTCCCCTTGCTTTGGAATCCTTAGCTTCCCATGCATCTGTAACTGGAACTGGGGGGGTTCCTGTAATCACTTCAAACAAACCCTCTTTCCGCAGAATTGCCTCTGCATACTGAACCCAGTCGCTGTAATTTTTCTTGTTGAGCTTAGGAATCCCACAAGCATCCTGAAGGGCCATCATGACTCTGGCATTAGCCTTCAGCGTCATATCTGTGCTGCTTTAAATCTTGCTGCGTCACTGCTGCAGCTGCTTCATTACAAAGGCACACTTAAAAGTTACTTCGATTTCCCCAGCATAGTGACTTGTGCCTGGGAGCCTTTTGCCTACTCCCGGCAAAACCGGCTTTAAAAGTTCAAAGTCCAGCCATAAAGCCATTAACTTGAAGCTGGCAGGCTGCCCGGAGCAGTAGCACATACCTCATCAATCACTTCTACGCGCAGAGCAGATTCCTTTCCGATCCGTTCCTCTGCATTCCGATCCTTTGCCGGCACTCCGATTCGACTCCTGGAGTCCATAACCACGTGTTGATTTAAAGCAGAGTCTGTCGTGGCCAGCGGAAGGATGAAGAATACGTGCTACATACTCTATATTGCTTTATTTACAGTTCAAAGCTGGTATATTACAGAAAGACATCTTGCCTCTGCAGGAGCAGAAAAATGCATCCTCTCTCCTCGACAGCTTGGAGAGAATCACACAGAGTGAAAAACAGGAAACCAGTGTACGTCACATCCAGTCTCCCTTTCCCGTGAGAAACTCCAACAGTACCTCTGACTGTGGAATGCAAAACAATGTCTTGTGACTGCAGTTGCTGCTCAGTGAGGGAAATAGAAACCAACACAGAATGCCGCAGCGAGACTCCTTACGGGGTCCTCGCCACGGGATCACATTCACCCGGTGGTATACCAGCTGCACTGGCTCCCGGTGGAGTACAGGATCAGGTTTAAGGTGCTGGTTTTAACCTTTAAAGCCCTATACGGCCTAGGACCCTCGTACCTACGGGACCGCCTCTCCTGGTATGTCCCACAGAGGAACTTACGGTCTTCAAACAAAAACATCCTGAAGGTCCCAGGCCACAGAGAAGTTAGGCTGGCCTCAACCAGAGCCAGGGCTTTTTTGGCTATGGCTCCAACCTGGTGGAACGCTCTGTCACAAGAGACTAGGGCCCTGCAGGACTTGACATCTTTCCGCAGGACCTGCAAGCCAGAGCTGTTCCACCAGGCCTTTGGCCAGGGCACAGCCTGACTCCCTCCTTTGGCAATCTTCACAGAACTAATGGTTGCCATCAATTTGAGTTGAATTAATTTTATAATAAAATGATTTTAGAATTTTGTACTATTTTATTGTTGTTAGCTGCCCTGAGCCCGGCTTCGGCTGGGGAGGGCGGGATATAAATAATAATAATAATAATAATAATAATAATAATAATAATTACTTGTCATGGCAGAAGGGGCAAGCTCAAAACAGATGGAAATCCAGACAATAAGGGCTGTGAGAGAAGGGCTATAGCTCAGCGGTGGAGCACCTGCATTATAGGCAGAATATGCCTGGTTCAGTCCCCAGCATCTCCAGTTAGGACTGGGAGAGTACCCTGTTTGAAACCCTAGAGAGCTGCTGCCAGTCAGTGCAGGCAATACTGAATTAGATGGACCAATGCTCTGATGGAAAATGGTCTCACTTGCTATAACACACCTTCCAGTGTCCCTGTGTGAGGAATGTGCTAAGCAGGGTTTGCTTTCTCTAGTTCAGGGGTCATGGTTTGGAAGAAAGCTTGTTCTGCCCAGCAAATCCTGCAAGCGACCCACCTTTGACTTATGGAAGAGAAGAGTTGCGATGGGCAGGAAATATAGTTTGGCAAGGCTGTGTTTTCCTGGTACTGTTGGCTTTGTCCCCAAAGTGCTATGGAAAAGATGTAAACTCCATAGCTGAGAAGTAACTAAGATAATATAATAATGAGTTCTGCTTCTTCTTTGTTTTGGAAAAAAATATGCTCTGAAACGGTACATATCTGTACATAAGGCAGAAAACCAGAAAAAGTACCGTATTTTTTGCTCTATGAGACTCACTTTTTCCCTCCTAAAAAGTAAGGGGAAATGTGTGTGCGTCTTATGGAGCGAATGCAGGCTGCGCAGCTATCCCAGAAGCCAGAACAGCAAGAGGGATTGCTGCTTTCACTGCACAGCGATCCCTCTTGCTGTTCTGGCTTCTGAGATTCAGAATATTTTTTTTCTTGTTTTCCTCCTCCAAAAACTAGGTGCGTCTTATAGAGCGAAAAATACGGTAACTGCCAAGCCCCTCCATCTAACCCTTTAGAGAATATGGGCACACATAGCACACATAGCCACTAGAGGTCCTGCCTTCTCTGTCAAAGATCTCTCTGCAGAGTTTGTTGCTAATTTTGCAATACGTGCAGTTACTCAGCACTCTGTTTTCGGAATGCAAAAGTACGCGTAAGGAAGGCTATGTGCACTTTGTGCTTAAAGACATCAGATGGATTTCTGCATTGAGACAATCTAGGTTTTCTCCCCTACATAAATCATGCCTACTATGGGCAAACATTCAATGCAACTATTGCATAGTTCTGGCTGGCTTTTGTTAGAGGAGTCAATTAGACGTGGCCATGAAAACTTGCTCTTGGCCAAAGCAACTTTTAGTGGATGTTGCTCACACGCTTTCAGCTATAACTTCGGGACTGCTTAGCATTAGTGTACACATCCTGGGTTGACAAATATTGTATTTACAATTAAAGTACAATTCAGATACTGAGAAATATTCTGACAGAATAAAACAACCTGCGAGGGAGTATCTCACCAGTACTTTCACTACCCGCAGCATAAAGTAGTCTTTAAAAGAAAAAATCAAATCACCCCAAATGCTAAAATAAGTTTTTATTGGGGGAAAGAAAGCAGGATGCGAGGAATCCATCGATGTGTGCCTCAGCTGCTCTGGGCAGCGTCCAACACAAATAAAAACATAATAAAACATCAAACGTTAAAAACGATAGAGGCTGCCTTCACAAAGAGAACCGATAGAGAACCTACATAAGGACTCTATTTCTCGGAAACCTGAATTTTGTTCTCAACACTGCATTCTAAATAGTGGCAGATATGCTGCGAATTTTCCCATATCAAAGCCCATCTGGATTCTCATTTCGTATATACAGAGAAATATAAAGGAAAAAGAACACAGTTTAGTCAAACGGATAGAATTTTCTTACAGTTCTGTTACTCAATGTTTGCAGCAAAGATTACTGCTGTCGCTGCATGTTCCAATCTTCTTTGCATTACTAGGGCATTCGGCATAGAAGCACACTCCACCATTGGTGTGGCAGTTTTTCTTTGTAGTAATTTGCTCAAGAAGTTCTGTCCAAAACAGTAAATGCTTGAAAAAATGGCCTAAGCTTACTAAGAGGCAGGATAACTTAGTGTGTGATCTGATTATTTGCTTGTTTAAAACGTTTGTTTACCAATTACAGAATTCTTAGTTAATCGTCTTCCGTTTACAGATAAATTTGTCAGCTGAGTTTAAATAAATTTGCACATTCCCCAAACCTGAAGGACTTAGAGCAACAGAACAATCTGGCCATTATATAGAAATTCTGTCCTTGGTATGCCTCTCCCCCCCTTCTCAGTTTGATTCCCTGGCACCATATCTGTATAAATTAACTATCCTATTAACTATCCCAAAATACAGACGTGCCTTCACACTGGCCAGATTGGATGTGATGCCCTCTGCCGTACTTGAGGGCAGAGACCAAAAGATTCCAACTGAGAAACGACTCTGCCCCTGTGGAGATGGCAATCTGGAAACAGTGGCTCATATTCTCCTGTCCTTTATAAAGATCTGAGGAATAAGATCATCACCCCACTCTTACTTACCATCCCAGGCCGCCCATCTGATGCCACATTGTTCTTTCTTTTATCAGATCAAAATGATCAGACAACAGCAAAGGTTGCTAGGTTTATTGAGGGTGCAATGAGATTAAGGGCCACTATCTGAACGATAATCTTGGCAATTTGATTGCCATTTTTACCAATTGCTGTCCTTTTTTATTTGTATATATTTTATTTGTATATATTGCTTGTTTTATGTTGCTATGGCCGTTGGCTAATGTGAATAAAGTTTATCTATCTATCTATTTCACCGATAAATGCATTTTTATGCACACTAAATTCCAGTATATCCATTTTTTGTATGTATTTCTCAGCTGGAAAACTGCAATGCAAAATTCAGAGCAGTGTGAATTTCAAAGGATGGCTGTGTTTTGTTCCACACATTGTTCTGATGACTGCATATTAGGCAGTTTCACCCCTAAATGCAAACAGAACCCCCCCTTCTCCCCCTTGCAACTGAGGAAATGCAAAATAAGCCACTTCATGAGATATGTGCAGATTTGCTTTCTTTCTGCAGGCTGCAAGTCTGAGCTGTCCTTGGCACAGAAGAGAAGCGTCTTTGCTAGAACAGCCTGTACATATCCCCCCCATTCATGCAGCCAAAAAGTTATTTATGTTCTGGAGTTCATAGGGACTAGGGTAAGGTGGGTGAAGCAGTCCATTTTTACAAAAGGTAGCAAGTGTTTGTTTTTCAGAGATAGGAAACTTCCTTCTCCCTTTATGGAAATCAGCACACACCACTGGTTCATATGCCCAACTGCATTGCTTTTATTAGAAGAGGAAAATGCAAGATTTCTGTTAGACAAGAAGGTGTTGTTCCCTTTTGGGAAGGTTGACTAGCTGACAAGCTCAAATGCACAAGGCTTCTGGGAGTGGCGATGAAGACAGATCCTGTGTCATAGGAAAAGAGCTTCAGGATTCAGAAACGTCCGAATCTTCTCCTGGGTGGATACTTGATGCCTACCCTAAGGGAACAGGTAAACAGGGTGAAGGTATTCTGAAATATGAGAGGTTAGGATTCATTCGCCCCCCGCAATATGATAGGCATGGTGCTGGTGAAGAGGAAGGGAGCCACCTTACCAAAAGCAGCAGTAGATCTGGGACGGATCCTGAGGGCATGGTCCCCACAACTTTTCCTCCCTGTAACACTCCTTCAGATTTCTGCATACTCCATCTGCACATTTTTGACTCCTAGCCTGGTTTAACCCTGGGGGTGTTTAAAGAAACAAGAGGAACATCGTGATTAAGGCGCAGCTGAAACACTCTTCCCATATTGCCATGGAATCATAGAGCGGTAGAGTTGAAAGGATAGCCCCACGGCTTATCTAGACCATCTAGTTCAGCCTGGAAACCAGGCCTAATAATAATAATAATAATAATAATAATAATAATAATAATTTATTATTCGTACCTCGCCCATCTGGCTGGGTTTCCCCAGCCACTCTGGGCGGCTTCCAACAAAGATTAAAAATACATTAGAATGTCACGCTTCCCTGAACAGGGCTGCCTTCAGATGTCTTCTAAATGTTAGGTAGTTGTTTATCTCTTTGACATCTGTGTGGAGGGTGTTCCACAGGGCGGGCTCCACTACTGAGAAGGCCCTCTGCCTGGTTCCCTGTAGCTTTGCTTCTTTCAATGAGGGAACTTTCAGAAGGCCTCGGCGCTGGACCTCAGCGCCTGGGCAGAACGATGGGGGTGGAGATGCTACTTCAGTTATACTGCGCTGAGGCCGTTATATGAGGAAGGGTTGAGGGAGTTGGGTATGTTTAGCCTGGAGAAGATAAGTCTGAGAAGCAATATGCTGTCCAAATCTCTAAAGGGCTGTCCCATGGGAAATGGAGCAAGCTTGCTTTCTCCTGCCCTGGGTGGTAGGACTCAAACCAATGGCTTCAAGTTACAAGAAAGGAAATTCTGGTGGAGCATTAGAAAGAACTTTCTGATGGTAAGAGCTGTTCTGCAGTGGAACAGACTCCCTCAGAATGTTGTGGACTCCCCTTCAGTGAAGGTTTATAAACAGAGCTTGGATGGCCACCTGTCAGAGATTCTTTAGCTGTGGCTTCAGCATTGCTGTGGGCTGGACTTAGATGACTCTTGTGGCTCCTTTCCAACTCTATGAATATATTTCTCGGACTATGCAATTAAAACAGCCAAGAATTCCTCCCACCCCACAGGGTTGATGTTTCCTGCTCTCCCACCTGTAGGCTGAAGACAGGTAGTCCCCAAACATCTTACCTGGCAACAGAAGGACGATAACCAAAGGCAGAAGGAAGGTGGTCTTCATGGCTGAATCTCAGAGCTTCCAGAGCCTCAGTGTTTCCAGAAAATGGGGAAGAGAGGGAATGACGAAGGAGGAGTATTGTGGGAGAACGTCAGGTGGCTTTTGCGTATTCTCTGCTGGGAACAGAGCATCAAAATCTGAGCATGTGTGTGGGGGGGCTGCAACAAAATGTTCCCACTCCTTAAGAGGAGTATTTTTCAGGGCTTCGCCAGGCTGGAACAAGAGAGTTACAGTGTTGCCCAGGCCTTGTGTGTTGTGTATGTGTGCAGTGCTGGATTTACGTATAAGCTTAACAAGCTATAGCTTAGGGCCCCACTCTCTTGGGGGCCCCCAAAAAATTAAAAGGGAAAAAAACCTGGATGTACATTTCCAAAACATAAGATAAAAAACAAATAAAATAAAACCTACATAAGCAACAGTGCTTTGTGTTGTGTAGGCTCCTATGATGTAAATAATGGGGCCTTCCTATTCGCCTGCTCCCTAAAATATCACTGGTTTGCTCATTTCTATATATAGGGTGCCTACATTCTGCATGGACTGGTTGTATGGCCACATGTACAAATGGCTTTGGATACCTATTAGCTCCATAAATGACCATATAGCACATACTCAACACAAAAAACAGCAACAACTTGTTGTTGACAAAGGACAGCTGGACATATAAAGGGGCCCATTACCTTCAGTAGCTTAGGGCCTCATTAAACCTAAATCTGGCCGTGTGTGTGTGTGTTTGTGTGGGTGGAGAAATAAAGAGGTCAGGAACAAAGGACTCTTCTCTCCCCATTCCATTGAGTTTTAATTCTGTTGCAATAGAGGGCTCAGGTTTGGGACTGGCTTCTAGGAGGGTGGTGGTTGTGGCTCTGGAGAACGGGAAATTTGGGGAGAGTGGAGAGGGGAAGCTGTGTACTGTCTAGTGTTGGAAGCCTTAGGGAACGGGGACAGTCACAGGGCCTTGACACACAATCACCACTTGCTGCATGGAGGAAAAGGTGTGGGGCAGTCTAATCAAGGGGAGGGTTTTCATATGCGCATTGAGTAACCACACTTGTGGATCTTGTGATCTGGAATTAAGGTAAAAAGATAAAGGTAAGGGACCCCTCGATGGTTAAGTCCAGTCAAAAGTGACTATGGGGTGTGGCTCTCATCTTGCTTTTAGGCTGAAGTAGGTGGTGTTTGTCCACAAACAGATTTCCGGGTCATGTGGTTAGCAGGACTAAACTGCTTCTGGTGCAATGGAACACTGTGACAGAAGCCAGAGCGCATGGAAATGCCGTTTACTGTCCCGCCGCAGCAGTACCTATTTATCTACTTGAACTGGTGTGCTTTCGAACTGCTACGTTGGCAGGAGCTGGGACAGAGCAACGGGAGCTCACCCAGTCACAGAGATTCGAACCACCCACGAGTCTAAGTGGTTTAGACCACAGCATGTTGAGAACAAGTATGAAGATTCTGGACTGAGAAAAATGGCACCTAATGAATATGCCACCTGCTTGTTTGTGGGGCCATGAAAGAAAGTGATCCCATCGAATGATAACTTCACATGTGCCAGAACGTTGCATTTTTATGGTTTTAACTGTTGGAAGAATTACAGCTAAAACTGGATGGGTGGGTGGAGTGGAAGAGAGGGCAGGGGAAATACCTCCACTCAGTTTAACTGAGTTGGCATCTATCTGTCTCGGAAGACAATGGAGGAGTGTGCCTTTGTGAGTGAGGTCAGGCTGATGGATAGCTGTAGCACCTGCTGTGGTTGTGGAGACTGATGCAGGAGAGACATGTTTTGTTGCAGCTGGGGCAGATGAAGGTGTCTGGTGGTGTAGCTGCAGATGCACCACAGCTTTTCTCCTCTCTGCGCTGGAACCCCCTGGGATCTTCTACCGCTTAGCAGAGGTTGGGGGTTGGTGGGTGTGGCGTTCGTACGGAGCCCCCGGTTGTTTCACGGACTATTGACCCATACACCACTACAGTGGTACCTAGGTTTAAGTACTTAATTCCTTCCAGAGGTCTGTTCTTAACCTGAAACTGTTCTTAACCTGAAGCACCACTTTAGCTAATGGGGCCTTCCACTGCTGCTGCACCGCCACCGCGCGATTTCTGTTCTCATCCTGAAGCAAAGTTCTTAACCCAAGGTACTATTTCTGGGTTAGCGGAGTCTGTAACCTGAAGCGTATGTAACCTGAAGCGTCTGTAACCCGAGGTACCACTGTAATCCGCTGCCACCAACCAGATTCTCCCTGGTAAAACACTTAGTCTGAGTCGGGTTCTCAAGTTAACAATGAAGATTGTAGTTTATTGCAAACACAAATAAACTTTAAATGCATTCGAAACGCTGTTACCCTTTCTCCTCTTAGTCTTCTTTTATCCTCTCTCTAACTCACTCTAACTCCTCTACCTCCCCTCACACAAGAACCAACTGCACTAACTGTCTCTCTATTTCCAACTGTCTTCCAACTGCTTTCCCAACTGTCTAAACCTCTGGCTAAGCCTTTTAAAAAACAGGTAGGCTCCGCCTCTGGGCTTTTCTATTGGTCTACCTATTAACCCTCTCTCCCCCCCTGTACAGATATTTGCAAAAGAACGGGCAAATGCCACAGCGGGCCACCTTTGTAACAGTACAATGGTACCTCGGGTTAAGAACTTAATTCGTTCTGGAGGTCCGTTCTTAATCTGAAACTGTTCTTAACCTGAGGTACCACTTTAGCTAATGGGGCCTCCCGCTGCCACTGCGCCTCCGCTGCCGCACAATTTCTGTTCTCATCCTGAAGCAAAGTTCTTAACCCGAGGTACTATTTCTGGGTTAGTGGAGTCTAACCTGTAACCTGAAGCGTATGTAACCCGAGGTACCACTGTATTGCTGATGAGCTGAGCATTCCCGCTGTATCAGGGCAGGTGAGGTGGGAAGAGAGAGCATTCTGTACCTTAAGCAAGAGCTTTGCTACATGCATCCGTTGGAAGGTCTTGAAACCTTGGCGTGACACAACTATACGTTTGTGTTTCAGTACCCTGAGGCAGAAACTCCAATCCATGCTTGGAAAACAAAGAACAGGTTTTGAAACTGCAGAGACCAGAGTTGAGTACATGCAAAGAGACAGGCCTGTCCTTTTGCAGAAAGCTGTCTAACGAATTTTAGAAAGTCGGTTTCTGCAGGGAAATAAGAAACAATCATGAACCCCTGAAATAGTATTTCATAAGGCAAAAGCATATGCAGTCATTAGGGCTGCCATAGCTGGGTTTTGTCCATAGAAAACAGTGTCTGGGTGGAATTTAAGAAAATTGGTTAAGATGTCTGGGAAAATCCGGGAGTATCGGAAGTGTTGATTTAATATTTTTTTTTGGTGAATTTCCGAAAAGATAGCTAAAGTACTTTGCAAAAAATAATGGGTTCTGCTTCTTCTTTGTTTGGGGGAAAAATGCTCTAAAACAGTACATATCTGCACATCAGGCAGAACAACAGAAAAAGTAACTGCCAAGCCCCTCCATCTAACCCTTTAGAGAATATGGGCACACATAGCACACCTAGCCACTAGAGGTCCTGCCTTCTCTGTCAAAGATCTCTCTGCAGAGTTTGTTGCTAATTTTGTAATACGTGCAGTTACTCAGCACTCTGCTTTCGGAATGCGGAAGCCCCCGTAAGGAAGGCTCTGTGAACTTTGTGCTTGAAGACATCGGATGGATTTCTGCATCGAGACTATCTAGGTTTTCTCCCCTACATAAATCATGCCTACCATGGGCAAACAATCAATACAATTATTGCATAGTTCTGGCTAGCTTTTATTAGAGGAGTCAGTTAGACGTGGCACTGAAGCCTTGCTCTTGGGCAAAGCAACTTTCAGTGGGTGTTGCCCACATGTTCTCAACTATATCTTCGGGATTGCTTAGCGTTAGTGTACGCATCCTGGGCTGACAAAAATTATATTTACAATTAAAGTACAATTCAGATAATGAGAAATATTCTGACAGAATAAAATAATCTGCGAGGAAGTATCTCACCAGTACGTTGACTACCCGGAGCATAAAGTAGTATATATTTTTAAAAAATCAAATCACCCCAAATGCTAAAATAAGATTTTACTGGAGGAAAGGAAGCAGGATGCGAGGAGTCCATTGATGTGTGCCCGGGTAATGCTTAGGAATTTCCAGTATATGTCTTCTTCTTTTCTGGACGCAGTTCAGAAATCCATAGCGTAACCTTCAGAAATAACAGCAATCTTATTATTTACACCCCACCCATCTGGCTGGGTTGCTCCAGCACAAATAAAAACATAATAAAATATCAAATGTTAAAAACTTCCCAAAACAGGCCTGCCTTCACAAAGAGAACCAAGAGATGCTCTCAGCTCCTTTGTTTTCAAAGCGCAAGAGAATATATCCATTTTAAATTTAATTTATGTTATGAGAATTATAAGGTCTATGGTATAAAAATAAATGCTCATACATGTACCAGGCAAACACATATATAAATATATAAACCACATGTCTGTGAAACAGTGCAGGAAAACAGTCCTAAAGCCATTTTGACTCTTTCAGTGACCTCAAATATTCCTCTGCAGTTTGGATGGAAATGGGAAAAGCCTCTCCATTGTATAGGCACACACATTGTACGGGGAAAAGCCTCTCCATTTAAGGCACAAATACTGCCTTAAAGGCACATTTGGGTATGAATAGGGTGAGCCCATGACCTGGACTCAGGAATTAAGTATTTTATCACCACAAAAGAATGGCCAGGCTGCCCAGGTAAACCCATTAACAAGTTTCCTGCCAGACAGCATCCTGCTCTAGACTGCCCATGTATGTATGATGTATTGGGGGTGGTGGTGGTCTTGAGCTACAGGGTGGGCAATTTCAAAAGTCTATATAAGGGCTTGCACACCATGGTTCTGGGTTCCTCCTCCTTCCTGCGTGGGGTGTGTGTGTGAGCACCCTGTTGCAACAGTTTAACAAAGATCAGGTCTACTAGCTGTTTTGCTTCTCAATATTCTCAGGTTGGACTCTGTTATTTTCTCCTACCGATAGAGAACCTACATAAGGACTCTATATGGGCTCTTGGGTACCCCATAAGGGAAAAGGAACAGCTTTTGCTTGTAACAATTTATATCCTGTGTCTTCCTCATGGGTGGATGGAGGGCACAGAGAAGAGGATAACAGGGACCTCAGACACTCCAAGAATTTAAAGCACTATGATGCCACTTCAAACAGTCATGGCTTTCTCCAGAGCATTCTGGGAGCTGTAGTTTCTTCAGGGTGCTGGGAATAGCTAGATGTCTCCTATGGCTTAACAACCAATCCCTGTCCGCAGGGAACTCTGGGAATTGCAACTCAGTGAGAGGAAGAGGTGTTCCCGAACACCTCTCGGCTCCCTCAACAAACTACAGCTCCCAGAATTATTTGGGGGAAGCCAGGACTGTTTCAAATGGTATCCTAGTTCTTTGAATGGATGGCATGAATGTGACCTTGGGGGAAAAAAGGGACATGTATTAAATTACAATCTCTTCTGAAATTATCCTTTGGGGCAGGAGGAACTAGAGCATCTGCCTGCATAAAGAGGCTTCCAGGTTGAATCCCTGCCATCCCCAGGTAGAGGGCTGACTTGTTATAAGGCAGCTTCCTAGCTACATGTGTAAGGATTGTGCTAAACAGGGTTTGCTTTGGCTGGTTTAGGGATAGAGGGTTTGGATGAAACAGGCGTGAGTCAGAGGAAGCATAGTTTGGCAAGCCTGTGTTTTCTGGTACTGTTTAGCCTTGCCCCCAAAGTGCTATGGAAAGATAAATGCTCATAGTTACAAGGTAACTGAGATAATATAATAGTGACTTCCGCTTGCTTTTTCTTTTTTAAAAATAAAATGCTCTAAACTTTACATAACTGCACATCGGGCAGAACAACAGCAAAAGTTACTGCCAAGCCCCTCCATCTAACCCTTTAGAGAATATGGGCACACATGCACACATAGCAACTAGAGGGCCTGCTTTCTCTGTCAAAAATCTCTCTGCAGAGTTTATGCTAATTTTGCAATACATGCAGTGACTCATTGTTTTCGGAATGTGGAAATACCCGTAAGAAAGGCTTTGTTCACTTTGTTTTTTGATGGATTTCTGCATCAAGACAATCTAGGTTCTCTTCCCTATATAAATCATGCCTACTATGGGCAAGCATCCAATGCAATTATTGCATAGTTTGCCTGGCTTTTGTTAGAAGAGTAAATTAGATGTGGCACTGAAGCCTTGTTCTTGGGCATAGCAACTTTCAGTGGGTGTTGCCCACATGCTCTCAACTATATCTTCATGGGTGGAAAAGGCTGAATTTCTCAGAAAGCTGGATTTTGCTCCCAACGCTCCATTCTGAATAGCAGCAGACATGTGACAAGTTACAAGAGAGGAGATTCCGACTAAACATTCAGAAAAAACACACAGCAGACAGCCACTAGAGGTCCTGCCTTCTTTGTCAAAAATCTCTCTGCAGAGTTTCTGCTAATTTTGCAATATGTGCAGTTACTTGGCACTCATTTTTTTTTTGGCATGTGGAAGAACCCGTAAGGAAGGCTCTGTGCACTTTGGGCTTGAAGAGATCAGATGGATTTTTGCATGGATTATCTCCCCTGCATAAATAGTGCTGACTGAGGAAATGTTCAATGCAATTATTGCATAGTTCTGGCTGGCTTTTGTTAGAGGATACCATTAGATGTGGCACTGAAGCCTTGTTCTCAGCTGAAACAACTTTCATTGGGTGTTGTCCACTTGCTTTCAAGCATATCTTTAGGCTAGGACTTCAAAAAGGGGCAGAAAAGGCCGAATTTCTCAGAAAGCTGCATTTTGCTCCCAACACTGCATTCTAAATAGTGGCAGACACGCTGTGAATTTTCCCATATCAAAGCCCAACTGGATTCTTGGTTATAGAATCATAGAATCATAGAATCATAGAGTTGGAAGAGACCACAAGGGCCATCGAGTCCAACCCCCTGCCAAGCAGGTCTTCTTTCTTGTAGTTTGGATCCATTGCTCCGTGTCCGCTTCTCTGGAGCAGTAGAAAACAACCTTTCTCCCTCCTCTATGTGACATCCTTTTATATATTTGAACATGGCTATCATATCACCCCTTAACCTCCTCTTCTCCAGGCTAAACATGCCCAGCCCCCTTAGCTTAGTGTTACTCTCATGTCATATGTACATAGAAAAATAAAGGAAAAAGGACACGGTTAACCAAATGGGTAGAATTTTCTTACAGTTCTCTTATTCAATGTTTGCAGCAAAGATAGAGAGGGTCGATGCATGTTCCAATAATCGTTGCATTATCTCTGCATTCCATGTAAACGCACCTTCCACCATTTTTATGGCAGATTTTCTTTGTAGTAATTTGCTCGAGAAGGGCTGTCAAAAACAATAGATGTTTGAAAAACGGCATAAGCTTAATGAGAGGCAGGATAACCTAGAGAGTGAGCTGATTCTTCCTTTTTTAAAAAGATTGTTCACCAATTACAGAATTCTTAGTACATCTTCTTCCTTTTACAGATAAATTTGTCAACTGAGTTTAAATAAATTTGCACGTTTCCCAAACCCCAGTACATATGTGTCCCTTTGAAGATATTGAAGAACACATAAAATACCTTAGAATCCTATAAGCAAATGCTCCCACTCATTGCTTAGAAGAACAGAACATGAAAAGCTTTGATCCCACAACACAGACTAAAAATAACTTCAAGAGAAAAATGAGTCGGGCAGGAAGGGCTTATAAGAACATCCAGTTTCACTGATTAAATCTGACTTCATTCATTAAAGCTGGCTTCCACAGGTTCACCATCTTAAGACTGTGATCCTAAACACTCTTGCAAAGGAATCAGTTCCTCTGAACACCATGGAATGTTCTTAAAGAAACATGATTTATTATATTATTTTAACTTCACAATGTTTCTTTAGCTCTTGTTTGTAATAAATCTAGCCGCCTAGAGTGGCTGGGACAAGACTTCCAAGGAGAGCTTGGAAGCTGAGCAGAACCTCTTCGGTGAGAAGGTCCATGATGCTTTTACGAAAGGAGTTTGCATTTCTGTAGCAACTACTTACAGAAGAAACCAGTGGTAAATGGACTGTGCAGCAGCAGCAGCTGACAGCAGAGCACTGCCTTTCTGCCTAGCCTACCTTTAAACTTTAGCATCACACGGTGCCATATTGATTAAAAAGGCACAGTTCTATAATTCAACAGGCAATACTGTGTTAAGGGAGCATTAATATCCAGGATAGAAGCACTAGCATTATAATCAGGAAAACTAACATAATATTAGGTAAAGGTAAAGGTACCCCTGCCCGTACAGGCCAGTCGTGTCCGACTCTAGGGTTGTGCGCCCATCTCACTTAAGAGGCCGGCGGCCAGCGCTGTCCGGAGACACTTCCGGGTCACGTGGCCAGCGTGACGAAGCTGCTCTGGCGAGCCGGCACCAGTGCAGCACACGGAAACGCCGTCTACCTTCCCGCTATAAAGCGGTCCCTATTTATCTACTTGCGCTTAGGGGTGCTTTCGAACTGCTAGGTGGGCAGGAGCTGGGACCGAAAGACGGAAGCTCACCCCGCCGCGGGGATTCGAACCGCCGACCATGCGATCGGCAAGCCCTAGGCGCTGAGGTTTTACCCACAGCGCCACCCGCGTCCCAACATAATATTACCCTGGCATAAACATTTGAATATGCAATTCTGCATAATGCAGCTATTTCTACAAAGTGATTTCCCACAGTATAATGGATTTTCGTATGTTATTTCCACCAATACATGTACAATTTAGCCCAGTATATGCATTCTTGTACACATGACTTGCATTGCTGGAGAATAGCATTCAAAATTCAGAGGGGTTTGCATTTTGAAGGATGGCTGTGTTTCGATTAGTGTATTGTTTTAGAAAGAGAGAAGTATGTAGATTCACCTTCCAATGCAAAGGGGAATGAGTTCCTCCCACCTCCGTATTGAAAGAGAATGCTTACATTTTGGGCCTATCCTCCCCACACCTAAGCCCTCCATAGATTTTGGGACATAGGAAGGTGTCTTATTCCAAATCACACTGTTTGTCCACATTCTCTCTGATACTGGCTAAGGTTTGAGTCTTTCTACATCATTTACGGGTGGTGCTGTGGTCTAAACCACAGCGCCTAGGGCTTTCTGATCTCAAGGTCAACGGTTTGAATCCCTGTAACGGGGTGAGCTCCTGTTGCTCAGTCCCTGCTCCTGCCAACCTAGCAGTTCAAAAGCATGTCAAGTGCAAGTAGATAAATAGGCACCACTCCGGTGGGAAGGTAAAACGGCATTTCCGTGCGCTGCTCTGGTTCGCCAGAAGTGGCTTAGACATGCTGGCCACATGACCCATAAAACTGACTGTGGACAAACGCCGGCTCCCTCGGCCAGTAAAGTGAGGTGAGCGCCACAACCCCAGAGGCATCCGTGACTGGACTTGACTGTCAGGGGTCCCTTTACCTTTTACATCATTTACTATCCTGTTCTTTTAGCACAGAAGCGAGAGGCTTCTATGATCATGTGTGTGAGGAGAAAATTAGTTGCCCTTTCATCCTTCCCATCTCCTGAAACTCCTAAGGAAGAAGACTACAAGGCTCCCATTCAAAGGGGGCTGCGACCCAGGATAGAAACATGACTCCTAGGGATTGAGAATGACCACAAACATTTCTTGCAGGACCTGCTTGCATGATCCTAAATCTTACCTGCTTCCTCCAAAAGGGAGAAGACGAGCAAAGCATAAATCAGAAAGAAGATCTTCATGGCTACTTGGATTTGTCTAAGACTCTTTCCACTCAAAGGTCATGCAGAGATGGAATGGGAAAGTGCTTCCTCCTTATTTATAAGAGGTGATGCTCAGTGCTTGAGGGACCTAGATGAAATATGAGCTTGTGAGGCAATTGTGTGTGAAATGGCTACTCCTAGGAATAAGATGTGCATCATGGAAAAAAGCCACTAACCATGGATTATAGCATTGAGGGGGAAAAGTTCTCTGGGACAAGATGCCCTCTTAGATATCTAGCAGTCAAAAATATATTTGGTGATGGAATAGATCTTCCTGTTCCTTCCATGGAGCCCCAAGCCTCCTTAAACGGATTAGTTTGGTTTCAGGCTAAATTTGACAATCTGTATCTGAAGGTCTACATTCAGAGCATAATCTGGTCAATTCTCCTAGGACTAGGATAGGCAATGTGATGCCCTCTAAATGCTGTAGGACCTCAACTCCAATTAGACCCCTGAAAGCCTGGCCAATGGGCAGGGTTGATGGGAGTTGTGGTCCAACAGTTTCTACCACATTTTCTACTCCTGCTCAAGGTGTTTGTGAACTGGAGTTTTTGGAGCAGAGCAGCAGAACTACCATGAAAACTGAAATCTAGAAGAAGATATGTAGTTCTCAGCATTTTAGTGTGAAATTCTCCTAATACACTCTTTTTGCCTGATGCATAGATTTTTGCAAAGCAATTTACTCTAATATAATACATATTGGCACGTGATTTTCACCGATAAATGCATTTTTATGCACACTAGATTGCAGTACAGTGGTACCTCGGGTTACATACGCTTCAGGTTACAGACTCCGCTAACCCAGAAATAGTACCTCAGGTTAAGAACTTTGCTTCAGGATGAGAACAGAAATCATGCTCCGGAGGCGCTGCGGCAGCAGGAGTCCCCATTAGCTAAAGTGGTGCTTCAGGTTAAGAACAGTTTCAGGTTAAGAACAGACCTCCAGAACGAATTAAGTACTTAACCTGAGGTACCACTGTATATGCATTTTGGGTATGAATGAATGAATTTATTAATACGGTCACAGACCAGCGTCAACCCACACAATATCACAGATCATAAAAAAAATATCAGAAATACAGAGGACAATATGAATATAACAAGGATTTAAATATAAAAAATTAAAATTAATTATTAGCGTGCCCCCTGTAATTAACATTTGGGGGTTTGGTCATTATGGGATACCACTTGCTTCCTGCGATTAATTGCAGACGCACAGAATTTGGCTACATTTAATGTAGTCTTGGGATTCTTGTCCTCTAGCAGTAGTTTTAAACTATGGTGTTCCGATTCTTTCCTGGACTTTTGCAAAACAGGTGTAATAAAAGTCAAACGTATATCCTCATAAAGACGACAACGTAATAGTACATGTGAAGCAGTTTCAACTTCCAACGAGCCACAGGGGCAAACCCGTGCTGTGTATGGTTTACCCTCAAATCTGCCCTGAAGTAAGGCAGAAGGGAGAACGTTGAATCTTGCGAGGGTAAAAGACCGTCTGTATTTGGGTACCTGAAGACCTGACAGATAGTTAGCTGGAGAGAAACCTCTCCCATGGTCCCTTATTGCTGGATGTTTGATCATTTCGCTCATGTGGCATTGTAATTCTACGTCCCAGATACGCTGGCGAATTGTAGTCCTAGCTTTCTCGAAGCCTGTCGCTATCAGGGTCTGCTGTGGGATCCCCAAGCCTTTAAGCTTTTCCAGCAGTGTAGCTTTCCATTTGGATTGGTAGGTATCTAATAAGGTTAAAGGTGCCAGCCCAACCGGGAAGAAAATAAGCTTTAGCCAATAATGGATCTTCAATATCCATATCCGAGTACTGATAGGAATTTGCCCAACCTCCAAACGAACCGCTATGTTGGATACGCAAGAGGGGATCCCCAGCAGGCAGCGGAAAAACTTAGTTTGAAATGCCTCTAAGAGAGTAAGGTTTTTAAAGCTGCAGATCTGGGATCCATATAACAATTGTGATAGTATTTTGGCAGCAAAGACCTGGGAGGCTGCCGGTATGTATTGGCCCCCTTTCCCATAGAAGAATCTTATTAACACTTTGGTAGATCTTTCTGCATTTGCAATAGTATTATTAAGCTGAAAGCGCCAGGAGCCCCTTTCCTGGAAGGTTACACCCAGGTATTTAAAGGTTGCTACCTGTTCTATTAAGCGATTGTCTATTCTCCATTTGTGCCTCCTCCTTTTTTTAGAGAACACAATGACTTTGGATTTGTTGTAGTTAATTGTTAATTGTTCGATGCTGCAGTATTTGGTAAAAGATCTCAAAAGTTTTCTTAATCCAACACAAGAAAAAGAAATTAAAACTGTGTCATCCGCATATAAAAGGACCGGGAGGGGCGTACCAGCCAATTTGGGGGGATGGGCATTTTCTTTCTCCATATTTCCTACTAGCGAGTTGATATAGAAGTTAAATAAAGTAGGCGCAAGGACACACCCTTGCCTGACCCCCTGATGGATTTGGATTTCCTTGGATAGGTGGCCCTGTCGGTCACACCTTACCCGGATCCGTGTATTTTCATATAGACTGTGGATGAGATACAGTAGGCGTTTGTTTATATTTGCGGCGCTTAGCTTTCCCCAAAGCCTGTCCCTCGGTATTAAATCAAAAGCAGATTTGAAATCTATAAAGGCCACGTATAGGGAACCTCCTTTTCTTGATGTATATTTCTCCGCAAGATGTTGGAGAACAAGGCCCTGGTCTAAGGTTGACCGATTTGCCCTAAAACCAGCCTGTGCTTCTGAAAGAATGTGGTCTTGTTCCAACCAGTCCACTAATTTGCCGCATAGGTGGGCAGCGTACAATTTGCTAATGATACTTAGGAGGCTGATTGGCCTGTAATTAGCCGGATCTGATCAGCTCCCTTTCTTGAATAAAGGGATGATGATTGCTAATCCCCAGTCCTCAGGGATAGTGGCCGATTGGTCTATGCTGGTAAATAGGGCAGCTAGCACAGGGGCCCACCATTCAACATTAGCCTTAAGGAGTTCCGGTGTAATGTTGTCTACGCCGGGTGCTTTTCCAGGTTTAAGGGATTGGATGAGCCTATAGATCTCCCAGCTGTGTTTCCCAGCTGTAAAACTGCAATGCAAAATTCAGAGCAGTGTGAATTTCAAAGGATGGCTGTGTTTTGTTCCACACATTGTTCTGATGACTGCATATTAGGCAGTTTCACCCCTAAATGAGAACAGAATCCCCCTCCTCCCCCTTGCAACTGAGGAAATGCAAAATAAGCCACTTCATGAGATATGTGCAGATTTGCTTCCTTTCTGCAGGCTGCAAGTCTGAGCTGTCCTTGGCACAGAAGAGAAGCGTCTTTGCTAGAACAGCCTGTACATACCCCCCCCCCCCGTTCATGCAGCCAAAAAGTTATTTATGTTCTGGAGTTCATAGGAACTAGGTGGTTGAAGCAGTCATTTTTACAAAAGGTAGCAAGCGTTTGTTTTTCAGAGATAGGAAACTTCCTTCTCCCTTTATGGAAATCAGCACACACCACTGGTTCATATGCCCAACTACATTGCTTTTATTAGAAGAGGAAAATGCAAGACTTCTGTTAGACAAGAAGGTGTTGTTCCCTTTTGGGAAGGTTGACTAGCTGACAAGGCTTCTGGGAGTGGTGATGAAGAAAGATCCTGTCTCACAGGAAAATTGCTTCAGGATTCAGAAACGTCCGAATCTTCTTCTGGGTGGATAAACGATGCCTACCTAAGGGAACAGGTATACAGGGTGAAGATATTCTGAAATATGAGAGGTTAGGATTCCCCCGCTCCCTGCAATATGATAGGCTTGCTGCTGGTGAAGAGGAAGGGAGCCAGCTTACAAAAAGCAGCAGTAGATCTGGGACGGATCCTGAGGGCATGGTCCCCACAACTTTTCCTCCCTGTAACACGCCTTCAGATTTCTGCATACTCCATCTGCACATTTTTTACTCCTGGCCTGGTTAAGACCTGGGGGTGTTTAAAAAAACAAGAGGAACATTGTGATTAAGGGCAGGCCTTCCCAAGCTGAAACACTCTTCCCATATTGTCATGGAATCATAGAGCAGTAGAGGTGAAAGGGGAGCCCCAAGGCTCATCTAGTCCATCTAGTTCAGCCTGGAAACCAGGCCTTATGAGGAAGGGTTGAGGGAGTTGGGTATGTTTAGCCTGGAGAAGATAAGTCTGAGAAGCAATATGCTGTCCAAATCTCTAAAGGGCTGTCTCATGGGAAATGGAGCAAGCTTGCTTTCTCCTGCCCTGGGTGGTAGGACTCCAACCAACGGCTTCAAGTTACAAGAAAGGAAATTCTGGCTGAGCATTAGGAAGAACTTTCTGATGGTAAGAGCTGTTCTGCAGTGGAACCGACTCCCTCAGAATGTGGTGGACTCCCCTTCAGGGAAGGTTTCTAAACTGAGGTTGGGTGGCCATCTGTCAGATTCTTTAGCTGTGGCTTCAGTATTGATGTGGGCTATACTTAGATGACTCTTGCGGCTCCTTTCCAACACAGACTATGCAATCAAAACAGCCAAGAATTCCCCCCACCCCACAGGGCTGATGTTTCTTCCTCTCCCACCTGTAGGCTGAAGACGGGTGGTCCCCAAACATCTTACCTGGCAATAGAAGGAAGATAACAAAAGACAGAAGGAGGGTGATCTTCATGGCTGAATCTCAGAGCTTCCGGAGCCTCACTGTTTCCAGAAAATGGGGAAGAGAGGGAATGACGAAGGAGGAGTATTGTGGGAGAAGGTCATGTGGCTTTTGCGTCTTCTCTGCTGGGAACAGCAGCACTGAAATCTGAGCACGTGTGTGTGGGGCGGCAACAAACTGTTCCCATTCTTTAAGAGGAGTGTTGTTCAGGGCTTCACCAGGCTGGAACAAGAGAGTTACAGTGTTGCTCAGGCCTTGCTCTCTGTGGTGTTTTAGCAAAGGGTGAAGGTTCTGTGTGTCTGTGTCTGTCTGTCTGTCTGTCTGTCTGTCTGTCTGTCTCTCTCTCTCTCTCTGTGTGTGTGGGTGTGTGGAGAAAGAAAGAGGTCAGGTACAAAGGACTCTTCCCTTATCATTCACCTGAGTTTTAATTCTGTTGCAATAGAGGGCTCAGGTTTGGGACTGGCTTCTAGGAGGGTGGTGGTTGTGTTTCTGGAAAATGGGAATTTGGGGAGAAGGGAAGCTCTCATTTTGCTCTTCATTTCATCTTGGGGGGAAAAAATTCTTGTGAAAATATATCAGCATTTTTTTCTTTGTGATCTTGCTTAATGTACACCTCCCACCCTGCAGCAATTTCTCCATGGCTTGGTCTAAACATTGCACAGAATGTTGCTTTATTCATGTTTTTGCATAGCATAGTTCTTACCCTAGCAAAGTTTCAACAGAGGGCACATCTCCTGCAAATAAAAGTGGTATACTTCCTTGTACTTTCAGTGAGAGCATAGAAATCTCTTACTTCTCCGTGTTTTAACTGTTTTGTTTAAGTGTAGTATTATGCAGCCACCTGTTTACAGGTAACAGTCCTATCTGTTGCTCCACCATAATCTAGAGGGCCACACGCTAGGCCCTCTCAATTTAATTAACTTTTTAATCAGAGTAATTGGTTGTTAAATTACTCATATAAACCTGACCTGTACTGGTATATGTAACCTCTGTTCTTTCAAAACTGCTGGATCTCAAATTGTTTTTCTTTTTGCTGCAGGTACTGTAGCATCATGGTTTTGGCCACTTAAAGTGAGTTTCAAGGTTACAGAATAATAGAATCACAGATTTATAGAGCCAAAAGGGACCACAAGAGTCATCTAGTTCAACCCTTTGCAATGTAGGAATCTCTCACTCAACATGGGGCTCAAACCCACGACCCTGAGATTAAAGGGTTACATTCAAGGACTAAGTGTCTGTTGACCCAGCTGGTTTTGCTCTGCCGGCCCGTTCCTCCTGACGCATTACGCATTTGAGCCATTAACGTAGCTGATTTTTTTGTTGAAATGTCTTTCTCTTATGTCCATTAAAAACCATGCATTTTAGCAGCAATACTGTTGAAGTCTTGTCTGCTTGTTTTGAAGAAGGTAGTCTGTGGGGGAGATCTTTCTGAGCACATCTATGGTTGGGTGGGGGTTAAAGAAGTCAAACTGATGCAAAAATGCAGAGGACCAGATGAAGACTGGAGAATGTGGAACTGATATAGACAGTTATTTGCCTGACCCTCAGCAGATGGCAGCTATGGTCTCAAACATTTTGAAGGTACCATGAAAAATCTCTAATAATAATAATAATAATAATAATAAACAAAGTTTTAGAACTGTTTTTAAGACTTCTGACATGGTTTGCCATGCGCCTTGATTTTCCAGAGTGCCTCTGGAAAATTTGCCATGTGCCTCTGGATATTCCAGAGATTTTCAGCCAATCAGCTGCCGTATTCTGGCCATGTCCAGGGAATTCCAAGTGTAGGGCAACCCTATAGCTGCTACAGATATCTTAAAAGTAAAAAACTAAGAGCAGTTTATATGGGAACTGAATAAATTTGGACACATTTGCCTGACCCCCAGCAGATGGCAGCTGTAGTCTCAAAAATTTTGAAGGTATCATGCAAAATCTCAAATAATAATAATAAAATGAGGAGGTATGGTAGAAGTAAACAACTAAGAACAGTTTATATGGGAACTAAAGAAATTCGGACAGATCTAGGAGGGGTCTTTGAATTTATTTATTGCATAAAATTCATATACTGCTTGATTGTAGAAAACCTCAAAGCAGCCAATTCTCGTGCGACTCCGTTACCTGAAGGTAGAGAAGCAAAACATATTCTCAGCTCCTCGTTACTGAAAACAGAGGGAGCAAGGACAATGACATAAATGTATTTACTGTTCTCAATGTCGTGCGACATGAATGGGCGACATCATGCCCGACTTCCCTCTCGCAGGCTAGGCATGAGAAGCAGGTTCAAAATCCTAACTCAGCCATGTGGTTAACTGGGCAATATTTGAGCTACATTTACTGAAAAGTAAGTCGCTCTCCCTCCTAGTTCTGCAGGGTTGGTGAACATTTCCCACCTTTCCAGCTCCAGCCTAGCCACTGACCGCCCCCTCTCCATGGTAAAAGTGGAATGGGACATTTTGGGGTGTCTTGGCTTCCCATGCGCACCAACGGCCCTGGGAGGGGGCTGGTGTGGGGTGTAATAATTTGTTTGTTTTTTTTTATCATAATTTATTATTTATACCCTGCCCACCTGGCTGGGTTTCCCCAGCTAAATATAATATGTTTAAGTTGAAGAATGACAATGGGAGAATGTGGTAGATCACTGCCAGTTTTTGATATGTGGCAACCTGTTGGATGTTGGATGTGTCTGCTTTATGCCATCATTCACCAGCCAAGGACTCTGCAGTTGCAAGACCACAGTTCCACACCCCCCTGACCACTGACCATGCTGGCTGGGTTTGATGGGAATTGATGGGATCTCTTACGGAAGTGTGCAGCAGACTTTGTCTGGCAGGCATTTCCCGACTCTTTTCCAGGCAGTCATGCACCTCTCCGGCATGCACTTCCCTTTGGCTTTGTCACATTCCTCCTTCGATTGTGGTGGGGAAGATGGGGAAGATGGTTTAGAAGCGTAAGCTTAAGGCAAGAAAGAAAAACATTGGTTCGCTTTGAGTTAGGGCTCCTTGCCAGCTACAGCGTTCTAAGTCCGTTCTCTGCTTTCTGCAGCCAATCAGAAGCTGCGCTTTGGTTTCCAAATGTTTTGGAAGTCGAACGGACTTCCCAAACAGATTCCGTTCGACTTCCAAAATATGACTGTATAAATGTCGATCTGTATAATACTCACTCTCAAAAACAAGATATCTGGTTCTTTTACTTTTAAAAAATAGAAAGAAATGGTTGGTTCAATCTCTCTGAAAAAGGTTTATGGCATCTGTCCAAGATTATGAGCTTTTAGCATCTGAAATAATTTAAATTTCCTTTGTTTGAATTTAAGATTTCATTTGAAACCATGCTCTTTTCCACAAGCTACAACATGACGGAAACGCTAAGAAATAAAACCAAATCATTTTTTAAAACAAAATAATAAAACTTTCTCTTTTAACCCTCCACTCCCCCCCCAAAAGTGGAAGGATCATTAGGCGCGAGTGATCATGCTCTTCTGAAGTTTACTATACAGCGGAAAGGAGCAGCCAAGCATACTAGGACTCAATTTCTTGACTTTAAGAAAGCCGACTTCATAAAACTTAGGGAAGTGCTGGGTGAGATCCCATGGACAGTAATACTAAAAGGAAAGGGAGTTCATGATGGCTGGGAGTTTGTTAAGAGGGAGATAGTAAAAGCACAACGTCAGGCAATACCAATGAGATGGAAACATGGAAGGTGCCTAAAGAAGCCAGGGTGGCTATCTAAAGAACTTTTAACTGAGTTAAGATTAAAAAGGATGTTTACAAAAATGGAAAAGGGGGGAAACCACCAAAGAGGAATTCAAACAAATAGCCAGCACGTGTAGACACAAAGTCAGAAAAGCTAAAGCACAGAATGAACTCAGGCTTGCTAGAGAAGTTAAAAGCAACAAAAAAGGCTTTTATGGGTATGTTCGTAGCAAAAGGAAGAACAAAGAAACAGTGGGGTCACTCAGGGGAGAAGATGGTGAAATGCAAACAGGGGACACAGAAAGGGCTGAACTCCTCAATGCCTTCTTTGCCTCAGTCTTCTCCGATAAAGAAAACAATGCCCGACCTGAAGAATTTGGAGCAAATGATTCAGCAAAGGAAACACAGCCCAGAATAACTAAGGAGATAGTACAAGAATACTTGGCTAGTTTAGATGTATTCAAGTCTCTAGGGCCAGATGAACTGCATCCAAGAGTATTAAAAGAACTGGCAGATGCGATCTCAGAACCACTGGCAGTCATCTTTGAGAATTCCTGGAGAACAGGCAAAGTCCCGGCAGACTGGAGGAGGGCAAATGTTGTCCCTATTTTCAAAAAGGGAAAAGAGAGGACCCAAATAATTACCGCCCAGTCAGTCTGACATCAATACCAGGGAAGATTCTGGAGCAGATCATTAAGCAAACAGTCTGTGAGCACCTAGAAAGGAATGCTGTGATCACCAATAGTCAGCATGGATTTCTGAAAAATAAGTCATGTCAGACTAACCTGATCTCGTTTTTGACAGAATTACAAGTCTGGTAGATGAAGGGAACGCAGTGGATGTAGCCTACCTTGATTTCAGCAAGGCATTTGACAAGGTGCCCCATGATATTCTTGTAAAGAAGCTGGTAAAATGTGGTCTTGACTATGCTACCACTCAGTGGATTTGTAACTGGCTGACTGACCGAACCCAAAGGGTGCTCATCAATGGTTCCTCTTCATCCTGGAGAAGAGTGACTAGTGGGGTGCCACAGGGTTCTGTCTTGGGCCCGGTCTTATTCAACATCTTTATCAACGACTTGGATGATGGACTCAAGGGCATCCTGATCAAATTTGCAGATGACACCAAACTGGGAGGGGTGGCTAACACCTCAGAGGACAGGATCACACTTCAAAATGACCTTGACAGATTAGAGAACTGGGCCAAAACAAACAGATGAATTTTAACAGGGAGAAATGTAAAGTATTGCACTTGGGCAAAAAAAATGAGAGGCACAAATACAAGATGGGTGACACCTGGCTTGAGAGCAGTACATGTGAAAAGGATCTAGGAGTCTTGGTTGACCACAAACTTGACATGAGCCAACAGTGTGACGCGGCAGCTCAGAATGCCAATGCAATTCGGGGCTGCATCAATAGGAGTATAGCATCTAGATCAAGGGAAGTAATAGTGCCACTGTATTCTGCTCTGGTCAGACCTCACCTGGAGTACTGTGTCCAGTTCTGGGCACCACAGTTCAAGAAGGACACTGACAAACTGGAACGTGTCCAGAGGAGGGCAACCAAAATGGTCAAAGGCCTGGAAACGATGCCTTATGAGGAACGGCTAAGGAGCTGGGCATGTTTAGCCTGGAGAAGAGGAGGTTAAGGGGTGATATGATAGCCATGTTCAAATATATAAAAGGATGTCACATAGAGGAGGGAGAAAGGTTGTTTTCTGCTGCTCCAGAGAAGCGGACACGGAGCAATGGATCCAAACTACAAGAAAGAAGATTCCACCTAAACATTAGGAAGAACTTCCTGACAGTAAGAGCTGTTCGACAGTGGAATTTGCTGCCAAGGAGTGTGGTGGAGTCTCCTTCTTTGGAGGTCTTTAAGCAGAGGCTTGACAACCATATGTTAGGAGTGCTCTGATGGTGTTTCCTGCATGGCAGGGGGTTGGACTCGATGGCCCTTGTGGTCTCTTCCAACTCTATGATTCTATGATTTTATGATTCTATGAAAAAAACCCACCCTCACCCTAATATTTATAATATTTTTTGTGCATGCAAGACAGAGCAAACAACACTGTTTCTGGGAACTTTGCCATTGTTAAGAAAACCCCTTCCCCATTACAGCAGCATTGCTGGCTATTTCAGTGCCTGCCACAATCTAAGCATACGCTGTACAATACCTGAATCCCTTAGCAGGAAAAGGGAAGAAAAGAGGAAAAAAACAGAGATCAAGTAGGAGAACTTCATGTCTGCTTCGATTTGCTGGAAATTCTCAGATCGCACAGAGGAGGGACAGAAGGTGCTCCTTATTTATAGGTCGTCAAACAACAGCAGCCCCTAGAGGGAAAGAGGAGGAGGAGTTTGAGGTACAGTCATGTAAAGCAGAGGTGGGGCCACATTCCCTTCTGAATGACTTTCTGGGGGCCACAAGCCAGGGCTGAGTAGGGGCAGAAACAGTTATGAGACCCCCGCGCCATCTGAAGTCAGCTCTGTATAGGGAAGCTTTGAAATGTTTCCTTTTTGTTGTTGTTTAGTGATTTAGTCGTGTCCGACTCTTTGTGACCCCATGGACCAGAGCATGCCAGGCACTCCTGTCTTCCACTGCCTACCAACTCATGTTGGTAGCTTTGAGAACACTGTCCAACAATCTTGTCCTCTGTTGTCCAATTCTTCTTGTGCCCTCAATCTTTCTGAACATCAGGGTCTTTTCCAGGGAGTCTTCTCTTCTCATGAGGTGGCCAAAGTATTGGAGCCTCAGCTTGAGGATCTGTCCCTCCAGCTTGAGGATCTGTCCTTCCAGTGAGTACTCAGGGCTGATTTCGTTCTGAATGGATAGGTTTGATCTTCTTGCAGTCCAAGAAGATGGCAGAAAGTGAGGAGGAATTAAAGAACCTTTTAATGAGGGTGAAAGAGGAGAGAGCACAATATGGTCTGAAGCTCAACATCAAAAAAACTAAGATCATGGCCACTGGTCCCATCACCGCCTGGCAAAGAGAAGGATAAGAAATGGAGGCAGTGAGAAATTTTACTTTCTTCAGTTCCATGATCACTGCAGATGGTGACAGCAGTCATGAAATTAAAAATGCCTGCCTCTTGGGAGAAAAGCAATGACAAACCTAGACAGCATCTTAAAAGCAGGGACATTACCTTGCCAACAAAGGTCTGTATTGTTAAAGCTGGGGACAAAAGCAGAGTTCACCTGCCTGGTTACTCACTCAGTAAGAGCAGCTCGAAAGAGAAACACTTGATGAGATGGACAAATGGGAGCATATATTATGACCTGCCACCATTCCTTCAGGAATTGCAGGGAAGAAAACATGCCTGTCCCTGTGTACCATCTTGGGGTAGAATAGTGGGGAATGGCTGTAAATCTGAAATGGGTTTTAAGGCAGGCTGCACTTCAGTGGTAGAGTACAATGTTTGTATGAGGGAAAGGTCCTAAGTTCACCCTCTGTGTCTGCAGGTAGGGGTCAGATGAGACTCCCGTTTGAAAATCTGGAGAGTTGATACTAGTCCAAGTAAGACAATACTTGTAAGAAATGATAAAGTTGCTTTCATTCACATAAAGATACAGGTAAAGGTAAAAGGTAAGGGACCCCTGGAGGGTTAAGTCAGGTCAAAGGCGACTATGGGGTCCCATCACCTCCTGGCAAAGGTCATTGCAAATCGTGACAGACAGCAGTCACGAAATTAAAAGATGCCTGCTTCTTGGGAGAAAAGCAATGACAAACCTAGACAGCATCTTAAAAAGTAGAGACATCACCTTGCCGACAAAGGTCCGTATAGTTAAAGCTGTGGTTTTCCCAGTAGTGATGTATGGAAGTGAGATCTGGACCATAAAGAAGGCTGATCGCTGAAGAATTCATGCTTTTGAATTATGGTGCTGGAGGAGACTGCAAGAAGATCAAACCTCCCCATTCTGAAGGAAATCAGCCCTGAGTGCTCCCTGGAAGGACAGATCCTGAAGGTGACGCTCCAATACTTTGGCCACCTCATGAGAAGAGAAGACTCCCTGGGAAAGACCCTGATGTTGGGAAAGACTGAGGGCACAAGGAGAAGGGGACGACAGAGGATGAGATGGTTGGACAGTGTTCTTGAAGCTACAAACATGAGTTTGACCAAACTGCGGGGGGCAATGGAATACAGGAGTGTCTGGTGTGCTCTGGTCCATGGGGTCATGAAAAGTCAGACATGACTAAACGACTAAACAACAAAACAGCCCAACACCTTGTGGCCAAGTTGAATTATGTGCTTCAGGACTTGATTTAAGGCCCTGCCCATAGATGGCAATCTGTAAACATCCCATGAGGAAGCCACTACTAGTACACCATGATATTCAGGATAAGGTCTCAGAGATAAGGTGTTCTTTTCAATGTCTGCATATATATGTATTTGCATGTGTGTGCTTGTGTAGTCAAGCATGTTGTTCCTGATCAGTTGAAGACATTTTGGGAGGAAGCCCATTTATTAGATTTTTACCCATTTGGAATAAAACCCATTTGGCCTAAAGAGTTTTGGAAGGAGGCTGCCAGGGCTGGTGCTCTGGGGCCCCCAGGTGAGGCACACCTGTCCACACGGTCTGAGTGGGCACTAGCCACCCTCCCTCATAGGACCACAACCAAACAGGTGGCCAAGGAGGGGACGAAAGCAGAGTTCACCTGCCAGGTTACTCAGTAAGAGCAGCTCGATAGGGAAGCACTTGATGAGGTGGACAAATGGGAGCATATATTATGACCTGCCACCATTCCTTCAGGAATTGCAGGGAAGAAAACATGCCTGCCCCTGTGTACCATTTTGGGGTAGAATAGTGGGGAATGGCTGTAAAGCTGAAATGGGTTTTAAGGCAGGCTGCAGTTCAGTGGTAGAGTACACTGTTTGTAGGAGGGAAAGGTCCTAAGTTCGCCCTCTGTGTCTGCAGGTAGATGAGACTCCCATTTGAAAATCTGGGGAGTTGATACTAGTCCAAGTAAGACAATACTTGTAAAAAATGATGAAGTCACCTTTTCACGCAAGGTTCCAGCTGCTGAAAACCTCAGGCATAATGTTGCTTTCATTCACATAAAGATACAGGTAAAGGTAAAAGGTAAGGGACCCCTGGAGGGTTAAGTCAGGTCAAAGGCGACTATGGTGTTGCGGCGCTCATCTCGCTTTCAGGCTGAGGATGCCGGCGTTTGTCCACAGACAGGTTTCCAGGTCATGTGGTCAGCATGAGAAGACCACTTCTGGCAAGATGGGACACTGTGACGGAAGCCAGATTGTACGGAAACGCCATTTACCTTCCCACCGCAGTGGTACCTATTTATCTACTTGCACTGACATGCTTTCAAAAGACTAGGTTGGCAGGAGCTGGGACAGAGCAACGGGAGTTCACCCTGTTGTGGGGATTCGAACTGCCAGCCTTCTGATCGGCAAGCCCACAGTGCCACCTACGTCCATGTGATAAAGATACAAGGCTACAGTTACTAGGCAGCCTCAGACATAAATTTTGCTTTGTTTTTTAGCAACGGGTGTGGGTTCTGTGTGTCTATGTCGGTATGTTTGTCTCTGTGTGTGTGTGTGTGGAGAAAGAAAGAGGTCAGGTACAATGGACTCTTCCCTCCCCATCCCACTGAGTTCATATTCTGTTGCAATAGAGCAATAGGATAGGCTTCTAAGAGGGTGGTTGTTGTGGTTCCGGAGAGTGGGAAATTCGAGGAGAGGGGAAGCTCTCATTTTGCTCTTTCATTGTGGGGAAAAAAAATCTTGTGAAAATATATCAGCATTTTCCTGTTTGTGATCTTGCTTAATATACACCACCCACCCTGCAGGAATATATCCACGGCCTGATCTAAATATCGAAGAGAATGTTGGCTTTTTCATGTTTTTGCGTGACATAGTTCTTAAGCTAGCAAAGTTTCGACAGAGAGCACATCTCCTGCAAGTAAAAGTGGTATACTTCCTTGTACTTTCAGTGATTGTATAGAAATGTTCTAATTTTTTGTGTTTTAACTATTGTTTAAGTGTAGTATTATGCAGCCAACTGGTGACAGTCCACCACAGGCTAGGCGCTCCCAATTTAATTAACTTTTTAATCAGAGTAATTGGTTGTTTCCTTATTAAAAATTGATAAAATCCTGATCTGTACTGGTATTTATAACCTCTGTTCTTCACATTTAAGACGGTATGTGAACTTTAAAAGAGCAAAGGGCTTGTTAACATCAAGAAAACATGATGTTTCTAGATTCTTAATGCTTTTGCTCTTGGCACTGTCAATAAAAATCAACTCATTCTGAATTTCTTTAATGGCTTCCATTATCTTTCACATGTTGTTGTTTAGTCGTTTAGTCGTGTCTGACTCTTCGTGACGCCATGGAAGAGAGCACGCCAGGCACTCCTGTCTTCCACTGCCTCCCGCAGTTTGGTCAAACTCATGCTGGTAGCTTCGATAACACTGTCCAACCATCTCGTCCTCTGTCGTCCCCTTCTCCTTGTGCCCTCCATCTTTCCCAACATCAGGGTCTTTTCCAGGGAATCTTCTCTTCTCATGAGGTGGCCCAAGGATTGGAGCCTCAGCTTCAGGATCTGTCCTTACAGTGAGCACTCAAGAGCTATTACTGAAGAATTAGATGTGGGATTCATCTATTGCTAAGGCTTTGCAATCATGACACCTTACTCAAGACAGTCTTCCTCAGCCTGGTGCAACGCAGGTATTTTGGATGGCAACTCCCATCATTCTTGACTTTTGTCAATACTGGTTGGAGTTGATGGAAGCTGGAGTCCACAAACACCTGGAAGCCCCCAAACTAGGGTGGATGAATATGCGAGGTTCTTTTTTTCTGGTCATAAGAACCAGGCTGAGGGCCTTCTCGCTAGTGGTGCCTGACCTATGGAATGCCCTCCCATCAGTTGTCAAGGAAATGAACAACTATCTGACTTTTAGAAGAGATCTGAAGGTAGTCTGTTGGCTGTCCTGGAAGGACAGCCAGCAAGTAGAACGCGCTGAGTTCGAAAATACTGAAGTGTTTCAGTCAGCCCTAGGGAGTTTGTTGTACTTGCCCCAGTGGAGCAGACCTGATATAGCGTTTACTGTCAATCTGCTCAGCAGGGAAGCTTCAAACCCTAGTGTGCAAGCCTGGAATCGCATCCAGAGAGTTCTGAGGTATTTGCAGGAAACCAAAGATTTTTGTCTTAGGTTGCCGGCACAAGGAGAAGTCAAACTGACTTCTTTTGTGGACTCAGATTGGGCTAATCTTGAGGATCGCAAGTCTGTGTCTGGCCTAGTGGTGAAGTTTGGGAACTCA